GGAGAGAGAGAGAGAGAGAGAGAGAGAAGATGACGATGGTGTTTCTGCGCATGTGCGTGAGTCTGTGTGCGTGTGCGTAGTAAAAAGTGGAATGAAGGTGTGGCAGTGATTTTAATCATTCATAACAAATACCACTGAACTCCCAGTGCAATGAGACATCGATTCATCAAGGGTACTGTACTTTCAAAACTGACATTTAAAGCTGCACATGTGTGTCTTTTCAAATGAGGTCAACATGTCTATGAACTTTTGAAGTCAGATCCATCGTAGCGAGCTTTGTGGAACAAAAATGTTGCTGGACCCCATTGAGACGATGTAGTTATAGCAGATGAAACATTTACTAGATGGATGTTGAGAATTAGTCTTCAAACAAACAATACAGCTTACGTTAATGTCCAAAAGCGTCCTGGTGACAGACATTTGATATCATGACAGGGACCCCCCCCCCCCACTTCCCAAACAAAAACAAAAAAACAACAGAAAGGGACAGAAACGTTGTTAATGATTACACACCCCTCATAATTACGGATAATGTATCATTGTTTGTTTAGCAAAGCGAATCTCAATCTCAAGGGAAATAACTGATTAAGGATAGATAACGGTTTGCTATCAACAAGAAATATACGGTGCCATCGCCTTTCCCCTTCAAAGACCAGAGGTGTATTTTCTACTAAAATCATGGATACAATCCACATTATAGGCCATGTAGCTAAAACAAGACGTCTTCTTGTGAATAACTTTTGATAGGATCCACTGATTCTCTCCAAATTTTGACACTGGGCATGTTTTAATATGTCCTGATAGTTAAAAGAAATTGATGTGCATCCGATCATAACCAAGAAATGTTTTCTCAGTGTCTTTGTGAACTATTGTTAAATTTTAGCTGTATTACAAAATAATTCATTGTTCCATGATCCAGACTTTAAAAAAGGATAAGCAACTTTAACACCTTATCTTGTGAGCAACAATCAAGGTGAATATACACGTGAATACATTAGACCTTGATACAATGTTGAATATGTTTTCTTACTGACACGTTGAAATGGGACGGTGTTGTAAGTCCCTGATTTTTTTGTTTTGTTTGTTTGTTTTGTTTTGTTTTCGCTTGATAGGCAGAAATGTACCCTTCGAAATGAAGCTTCAATTTAGAACAAAACTACATGAAAGGACAAATAGAGTTGAATTTAGTTACAGCATCTCAAAGTAAATCTCATAGAGAATCAAAAGTTGTTATTATTCTTAAAAAGTTGTTTCTTTATTTTTCAAATAGGTGGCCTGTAAGTTATATCTCTTTTTAAACCCTATGTTTGTTTTGTTTGATTGTCTTTTTTTTTTGGTTGTGTTTTTTTTTTACCCATTTGTTAGTTTCTTGGCAATACTATGTCTTGCTTGCGTCAGACTTTGGTTAGTTTTGGGTTACTCTTTGTGCTCAAATTAATTTATCTTCTTTCGTCCTGCAGCATGAGTGTTAAAAGAAAGCAATGTTTGCAGTTGTTATAAAATATTTAAACTTTCAAAACTTGTGTTTGAATAGAGAAACTCGCGTAGTTACTGACACCCGTATGAAATCAGTGGAGTTTGTAAAATTTCTTCTTTCATGCGAAGCTCACTTGGTAGCAGGTCGTTTAATTTCCATTCACTGCTGTATTTGACAGGAGTTTCCGTTACTGAGTTTTTGGTCCTTTTTTTAAGAGAAATCATGCTTCACAATGCGTGACACTTCTATTTAATGTACTTTATATTATTTTATTTTTTTATTCATCAAAAACACTTGTGGCGACTTTAAAATTTACTTCGGTTATCAACTTTAGGGAGCTATGGTTGTGGTATACAAAGACTAGGATCGCATACTTCTTTAAAGGAATCTTTATTATATACAATACGAAACAAAACGTTATGCGCGACGTCAGTGGCAATACCTCTACCATTTCCTGCAAGTTGTAACTGACACTTTTTAGAGAGTGAACTGGAGAAATTATTAGAATTTTTGGCTTCTGTCACCAAACAAAGCACTATAAATAACCCTTTAAATAACAAAGTCGTTGCAAC